CAATGTAAATGTCAATATTTTTTGGAAAAATGTGGGTTATTTTTTTGTTTTAAAAGATTTAGAAAAACTATAAAATCCAATCGAAAAAGCGTTATTTTGACAGTATAACCTCAAAATTTTGTAAAAATGTGTAATAGATTACCTAAGTTACATGACGGACAATGTAGATATCATTATTTTTTGAAGAAATGTCGGTAATTTTTTGTTATAAAAGATTTAGAAAAACTATAAAATCCAATTGAAAAAGCATTTTTTTAACAGTATAACCTCAAATTTTTAAAAAAAATTGTGATAGGTTACCTAAGTTACATCACGAATAATGTAGATGTCATTATTTTTTTGAAAAACATCGGTTATATTTTTGTTTTTAAAGATTTAGAAAAACTGTAAAATCCAATCGAAAAAGCGTCATTTTGGCATTATAACCTCAAAATTTTGTAAAAATTTGTGATAGATTACCAAAGTTACATCACGAACAATGTAGATGTCATTATTTTTTTAAAAACGTCGGTAATTTTTTGTTATTAAAGATTTAGAAAAACTGTAAAATCCAAACGAAAATGCGTTATTTTGACAGTATAACCTCAAAATTTTGTAAAAATTTGTGATAGATTACCCAAGTTACATCACTAACAATGTAAATGTCAATATTTTTTGGAAAAATGTGGGTTATTTTTTTGTTTTAAAAGATTTGTAAAAACTATAAAACCCAATCGAAAAAGCGTTATTTTGACAGTATAACCTCATAATTTTGTAAAAATGTGTAATAGATTACCTAAGTTACATGACGGACAATGTAGATATCATTATTTTTTGAAAAAATGTCGGTAATTTTTTTTGTTTTTAAAGATTTAGAAAAACTGTAAAATGCAATCGAAAAAGCGTTATTTTGACAGTATACCCTCAAAATTTTGTAAAAATTTGTGATAGATTACCAAAGTTACATCACGAACAATGTAGATGTCATTATTTTTTTAAAAACGTCGGTAATTTTTTGTTATTAAAGATTTAGAAAAACTGTAAAATCCAAACGAAAATGCGTTATTTTGACAGTATAACCTCAAAATTTTGTAAAAATGTGTAATAGATTACCTAAGTTACATGACGGACAATGTAGATATCATTATTTTTTGAAAAAATGTAGGTAATTTTTTTTTGTTTTTAAAGATTTAGAAAAACTGTAAAATGCAATCGAAAAAGCGTTATTTTGACAGTATACCCTCAAAATTTTGTAAAAATTTGTGATAGATTACCAAAGTTACATCACGAACAATGTAGATGTCATTATTTTTTTAAAAACGTCGGTAATTTTTTGTTATTAAAGATTTAGAAACTGTAAAATCCAAACGAAAATGCGTTATTTTGACAGTATAACCTCAAAATTTTGTAAAAATGTGTAATAGATTACCTAAGTTACATGACGGACAATGTAGATATCATTATTTTTTGAAAAAATGTCGGTAATTTTTTTTGTTTTTAAAGATTTAGAAAAACTGTAAAATGCAATCGAAAAAGCGTTATTTTGACAGTATACCCTCAAAATTTTATAAAAATTTGTGATAAATTACAAAAGTTACATGACCAACAATGTAGATGTCAATATTTTTTGGAAAAATGTCGGTTTTTGTTATTAAAGATTTAGAAAAAACTGTAAAATCCAATCGAAAAAGCATTATTTTGACAGTATAACCTCAAAATTTTGTAAAAATTTGTGATAGATTACATAAGTTACATGACGAACAATGTAGATATCATTATTTTTTTGAAAAACACGGTTATTTTCTGTTATTAAAGATTTAGAAAAACTGTAAAATCCAATCGAAAAAGTGTTAATTTGACAGTATACCCTCAAAATTTTGTAAAAATTTGTTATTGATTACCAAAGTTACATCACGAACAATGTAGATGTCATTATTTTTTTTTAAAAACGTCGGTAATTCTTTGTTATTAATGATTTAGAAAAACTGTAAAATCCAATCGAAAAAGCATTATTTTGACAGTATACCCTCAAAATTTTGTAAAAATTTGTGATAGATTACAGTTAGATAAGTTACATGACGAACAATGTAGATGTCATTATTTGATGGAAAAAAGGGTTATTTTGACATTTTACTTAATGAACAATGTAGATTTTTTTTCACCCGAAATTAAATACCGATATATTATTTCATACCTCATAAACAAAATATTAAATTTTAAAAATTTAAATAAATGTATTTTTCAATTAACTAATCTGCGCTTTTGCTTATGAGTGTATTATGCATGTTTATAAATCCTTCACGGTCAAGAGAATAGCAAGAGGGGGGATAAGTAGAAGGGTCAAGGGGGGCCATGGGTCACCACGGCCGCCTTTTCTAATCAAATTCCAATTAATGGACTTGCTCGCTTGTAATTGTCCTAATCCTTGCGATTTTCAGCGAGGCTCGAAGAAATCTCCAGGACTCCATTATAAAGTGATTATCACGAGGATTACGAGGGCCACCTCCAAATTTCGACAAATTTGGGGCCCAAGACTAATTTTAAGAGAAACTCGCTGTGGACCCTTTAAAATGAAAATTAATAATATAAGAGGGACATATATTTTTTAATATATACCACATAAATAAACACAAAAAAACACAAATTATTTCCTTGAAAGGTCATAAGATCAATTTTTTTCACTGATGTTAGATTGGTACACCCTATATCTAAAAAAAAAACTAAAAAAAAGGATAAAACATGTTCTTCATATTTTTGATACTCTCTCTCAAGTTAGTGGAAGCGCCTGTGAAAATTTCCATGTATATGTCCTTTAACTAGGAGGAGGCATTTGTCTTGCGTCGCTAGAAGCTTGACAACTGTCCTGGGGCTGTAAATCTTGTTCCGTTGCAGCAGGATGCAGGACTATAAAACACATGCATTCATTTAGAAACAAAGATGACGATAAAATGAATCTGGGTTGATATTCTGGATTTAAGGAAGTTTCTGTATATTTTTTTGATGCATAAGTCATTTGCAAATGGACCATGGTAACATTAATTTTCTTCTGTTGCAATCTTGCTTCTCGGTAGAGAGAGGAGCAAGGGGCGTAGTGAAGAACAAGTCATACATTAGGTTATCCAATATTCCACTCTGGTGGGCCAGGGCTTCAGGCATGCAAATGAAGTTAGTGTCGCCGAAGGAAAGGGACGTCGAAGGGAGAAGGAGGAAGAGGGGGCGCGGGAGGAGGGGGAGGCACACACGACTTGGCTCGTGCTATTGATTAAAGACGACCGTGGTCCAGCGCGTAATTACCCCCTTATCTCTGCGCCTGTGGGGGGCGGCGAGCGTTTCGAAAGCCCCGCTTGGGGGCACCACTGGGTCGGGGGAATTCACTTTGCAACTACGCACACCTATTTGCCTAAGACTGGACAAAGACGTAATCAGGTCGACCGCATCATTTGATTTCGATTTTTTAATTAACTCTTAGCATTTTTGTACTCAGGGGTGAGCATCCTCTATTATTACCTTACTGGCGGTGGTACTCTAGTTTTAAAGTAAACATCAATTATTCAAATGAAGCGACCATCAGCAGGCAGTGGCTTGCAGGAGCAGCATTAGCAAGCAGGAGGCGTTTGGTGCAAAATGAAGCAAAGCGAGCATAACCTAAACAATAAATCCACAATCGTGGAAGTTCGTTAGCGGCGGCCGTCCTACCATTCTCTTGTAATTAATTTATGGCCCCGTTCCCGCCCAGATTTGCATGCCACGGAAGTCAACCCCCCTCGGACAACACTCCAATCTAATTACGACTGGTTACGTTCCTGATTGCCACTACCAACACCAAACTTCAATCAGGAACACGACTACCATCAACTGCATTTAAGAATGAAGTGGAAGTCTAATTAAGACCTTTAAGACAAATATATGTATTGTAACATTTTTAGAAAATAATACGTGGACCATTAACATATTTCAGCGCTTTATTCTTAAATGGAATACACTACAGATAGATAGATAACTTTAATCCTGTGTAATACAAACTTGACCTCTTCAACTTGCTTGCAAAGCCATTCAGAGAAAAACAAGATTGAACGTCACGCACACATTACCAGAATAAAATACTGACCAATGGTCAGTGCACCTTTACCCTTTATAAGCGTGCCCTCACCCTATCGTCAATTCAACTCAAAGGAGACTTGGATGCATTATCAAATCGATATTCAAAACTTTCCGTGAAACAAGTGCAGAGGGAGAGAGGGGTGAGGTGGACGAATAAAATTAATGATCTTGTCCGAGCAGGCCTTGACGTGCGGTCACGTGATGTATGACCCATGACGCGGGATTAGCGATGACAATTTAATTATGGTAGGTCCGCCTAAGAGTGGACGATGCCCGAAAATTAAGTAATTTATTTTCGCCACTACGCCATTAAGTACACAAAACAAAACGTATTAAGTTGAAAAAGATAATATTTCAAGTTTTTTTATTAATATGAATATTATTACTTCATAGCCTATCTGACAGTTAAATTCTTTATCGATCGTTGTGAGAGCAATTGTATGGAAATTATCTGATATAACTAGAAAGCTATTGAACAGAATTTGACTTTCTTTTGGGTTGAGCCACCCTGTGTGGCATTTAATCGCCTATAAAAAGAACGGTGGCTCTTCTGTTCAAGGAAGTGTCAAGGGGGTTAGGGGGGGCGAAAAGGGGGTGGGCCATCGCTCCGTATGCTCCTGCTAATGAAGCCTATTTGTTTAGCAGCCCGCTCGCAGGAAAACACGAACGGAACTTCGCTCTTATCCTGATTTATAGCGGCGTTTAGTCCAAGTCCTGCTGAACCGAAGTGTTGTTCTGCCGTTTCTTTTCCTTGCAGGAACGCTAACCGATACCATCAGTCAACAGGTATTATAGTATTGAATATTATCGAGAAAAAATGGGTTCAGTAAACACCAAGGTCTACATTGTGCAAGATCAATTATTCATCAAAGCCTTGGGTGCTAAAATTACCCTTCAACTAAACTAGTAAAACGACAACGAGATATTATTAATTTATTGTTTCATTATTCACAAGCTGCGCCGGCAACACATTGACTTCCTTCCTCGACAAAAACGGAACCAGCTGGGCAAAAATTGACGGTTCCAATCTTATCAAAGCACTCTATGTAGGTTGAACAGCCTACTGCGTTCGGGTCTGCGATGTTTTCTATAGTTGTGGCATCGATTTCTGGGTCGTCGCAAAGTTTTTCGATGCAGGTGGCTGATTGGTCGCATATCAACCTGGTTGGGTTGAAAGGTTTGCCCGTGGGGCAGCTGTAGTTGCTTTTTAGGATTTTTCCGCGGTACGCGACGCATTTGTAATATTTTCTGCATGTTGCGTCTGGATATCTGAAGGTGCCTGGGACTTGGCAAGCATACTCGTCAGTTTGGGCGTACACCAAAATGATATAGAGAGTCTAAAATAAAATGTGTACTGCAAAATCCAGGACTTGAGATGAACTCACCAAGACAATAGCAACACCCACAAACCACTTCATTTTAAACGAATTGAGTAACTAGAACCTTTATTTTTCAATTAGCTACCTTTAAATAATATTTCTAAGCAAATATTTACTAGCTTTATAAATTTTACTACAAATATGCCTAATCTTTTAACTTACTTCTAATCCTTTGTAAAAAGAAACCTTATCATTATCATAACATTACATTGTCAAGATCACTTTTATCACTGAACCCTGAGTCTTTTAATAAAAACTATAATGAATTGTGCATAAAATGTGGGTTATTTAGGACATGTTGACATACCAACAAACATATGATGTTATGAGGTACATATTTACCCCTTCTTTTGTACATCACATTAATTCGATTGTTGACCCTTGCGTTCACGCTCAATTAAAACAAACTCTATACTTGCATATCATCATAACTTAGATTGATTGTCAAGGTTTCGCAACGCGTCAATAAATCGCCGGTATTCGACAGGACGCGAGGGGTGGAAAGAGGACCTTTTTTGATTAATACCAGCTGACCGCCATAAAGAACTTTTTACGACGGCGATATAACGCCACCTTTCTCTGCATTATGCATGACTCGTTGAAGTTTGGCAGTGCGTATTTAAAAATTCAATTGAAGGAAAAGTTGTTATCCAAGTTGTTAAAATTTTCGGCATGCCCGAGGCCTTAATAATCGAATAACAATATTCAAAGGATTGTTTGCGATTTGAGGGTGCAACGTTTCTCAGGTAGTCCCGGATAACGGTCTTGAGATTCCGGAACTATAACAAATTTCATTACGCGTAGTAACTTTGGAAGTTGCTTTCTGTTTTGGATATTCCACAATGAGTTTAAACATTCTTATTGCGATATCTGCAGGATGGCCAATATTTCTCGGCGGTATCTGGTGCGTAGATAATAAATTATAGGCATAAAGCGCACCGCTGACCACTACGATAATGGAAGATACGATGGGATAAAATCAAAAAATGCATGAATATACTACGCTAATCTAAAAAATTCTCAAAACCACAGTTGATTTTCTTTTATGTTCTAAATAGTTCTGAAGCTTCTTAGAATGTATAAGAAAATGTAAAACAAGTTCTAAAAAATCAGATGACTTAATCCTCCTTAAATTTAGCTGTGGACCTCCGTGCTTCGAACTAACTAGCAGGAGGGAATCCTGCTGAGAATGGTCGCGCGCCAATCCATATTCAAGAATTGCAACGTCAACATTTACGTATCCTTGCTTGCAAAAGAAAATCAGTTTCCTGGACCCTCTTTATGTGCGTATAGACAAATTGAGCAGATAAAGGTTAATCTACTAAAGTAAAACCCATAAGGAAATTTAGTATGGTATGGTATGCATAGTACAACGCAAGAACCTTCAGTCCGAATAATTTCAAAATAAGGACTTTCAGTGCAAGGATAACTAAAAATATTTATTCCAAGGCAATTGGAAGCAATGATGGTACACGTAACGTCAGGAAACTATAATTAATTTCCGTTAAGTCCACAGTACGTGTACATGGCATGTCTTATTGGATACATTAATCTTCACCCTTCTGCATAACAAAGATAAGTGCAGGAGACCGTTTGCTTTCTCCTGCCACTGCCGGTTCCTGCTACACTGGATGATGGTCATCTCCATAATTACCGAACGCCTCGTCCTGCTCTATTTTATGTTTTAATTAAAGCCGAAATTCAGCAGGAGAACCGAATCGATGGTCTTCAAGTTTTGAAAGTATACAGTGTACGGCAAAAGTATGAAATACTGTCATTTAATTGGTTACTGTATCCATTAAAAGCACAATCCACTGTAAAAAAGGACTCAGGAAATCTCTTTCAACTTTTGTGTCACATATCAAAAACAAGAAATCTTGATTGAATAATTTATTGGGGCTGGCAAAGGGCAAAAAAATACTCTTTCTCCAACAGAGAGTGTAAATTGATGCATAAATTATTCGGCATTGTGTCTATTGAAAGGGGACAAGTGGAAAAAGTAAGAAAAAATGATGTGTTACTTTAGAAGACGAATGATAAAGATGCTTATGTCCAACAAGCATTAAAATTCTTGTGGACTACCCCCACTATGTATATTAATTCAACATTCGATAAAGAAACTTTTCTGCCCCATTTCAAGCTTAGTTACAGGAAAGTTCAGGCACCAAATGGGCCTAAATTTAAGCATATATGTAGCAAAGTTGCCAACTAATATTAATTTATGGTGGATATTGCCTAAAACAATTAATTAAGCCTCAAGGCAATCAGAAACTTTTATTGATTGCTTGCTAGCCTTTCCCCACCGAAAGAGCATGTTTTAATCCTTTGGTCAGGACTAATTACTTATTTGTTAGCATTTATGCGTGTAGATGCGACAGTAAAAACCCTAAAGGAGGATTTATTCACCCCCGCCCATGATGCAGAAGGATATTATCGCGTCTTCTCGCGATATCGTCCGAACTCGTTAGTACGATGCAAATCTCACGTATATATTTTATCCCACCCTTCTATCCTCAAGACCCATGTCCTGTGTGGTATACAGGGTGATCCAAAGAACTCTTCCGCCAGCTAATAGTATTTGCAACTCATTATGCTATCTCATAGTACCCTAAGCACTGCCTTGATGTACTTGTGCATGTTAGCCAAAAGAATAATAATCAAACGTAACTTCTGTATGAATCACCGTGTACAAATTTTATCCGCCCTTCCTATCTTGAAGACCAGCGTCCTGCAAGCGATTCGAAAGTGAACTGGAGGGGCGGCGGTCGTAGCAGTAAGGGGGTGGCAATGGGAGAGCGGGTGAAGAATAGTCCGAATTTGCATCGTCCCTATCTGGAGCTGATATATGGGGGGCGGTCGGCGGTTCGGCTCTCTTATCTCTGCCGTCCACCGCCCCCGAAATGGCCACTGTAGCAAGTGTTAAAGTTTAATTTATCGCGCTACGCCGCTGCATTGTCACGTCTTTCAGAAAACCAGTTGTGGATGTTTAAAATTGTTTCCAAATGAAACATATATGGGTTATTCCTGTTAAAGACTCGTACAATATTCAACTGAAACACATTTGCTTAATTTAATCACGTCCTGTTCGTTGGCAGTTTAGATTCAGGTGGGTGTAGTGCTAAAAGCGGCACCAATACGATACTTGTGCAATATTTTCAAGGAAACACTTTCCTGCCTCCTGCAAAAGCTCTACTGCTAAGTGAAGTAGCGACGCGAGGATCTTAATGGCTACTTAGTCCTTCGCGCTATTCCCTGCTGACCGTTTTGCAGGAAATCCCTTAAGGATATCATCAGCAGGATGAAAAATATTTAAGTAATAATAGTAATGAGTGATTTTGGCAGCAGTAGTTCAATTATCTGCAAAAAGTATATTTTTATATTGTTCCTGCAAAAGGTTAACCTTATTTTTTCACAATGTGGATCAGCAGGATTTTAGACAAAATGAACAATAATTTTCAACGTTGGTTTGTATTTGTTGTAGTATGTGTATATTCCTGCAAAATACTGAAACAAGTTTTGAATAACAACCCGCAGGAATGGTTTAAAATTGGAGAAAATATAATCACTATATTTTTATATTTTAGCAGGATTTTAAGGGTGTCAACAAAAATATTTTTCAAATAAAAAAATTGTGTTTCTGCATAGGGTAGCTTAATGTTAAGGATGACAGCAGGAATAATAATGTTATTATACGACAATAACTTTAAAATTTGGAGTTTGTTTATATTCTTACATATGTTTTGCAGGAAGGCTAGATTGATGGGTTAATGGCAGAAATATGTTTTGCAGGAATAATTTTAAGTTATTTTGTTGTATATTGTGTGTGTTTTTTTTAAATACTAATAAACGATTTTCAAAACCAGCAGGAATGTTTTCAAATGGAGAAAAATAAAACTATTATAAATTTTGGATGCATTTGCCATCAGGAATGATAAGTAAATTAATTTTTTATTTCGTTGTTAACAGACAATAACTAATAAAGTTAGTTGCAGTTTTTTGGCAGAAACATGTTTAGGAATATCAGCAGTAATAATGTAATTGTAAGTTAGTTTCTTCAAAAATACTAATGAACACCAGAAGGAATCTTTTCAAGGATTTGTTTGCTTAGGGATATGCAGAAATATTTTAAATTAAATAATTTATCTTGTAAAATAATTGATTGACATCAACAGAAATAATAAACAAATAAGATTTAGACAATAAAATTTGAAGTCAGTTTGTGTTGTATTTAGGGTTTTAAAATTTCCGGAAAAATTAAGCCGGCGGAAAAAACCGTTTTTTTATTTTTTAAATTTTATACAAAGGGTAAAACAAAAAAATGCAAAAGTCAATTTTTCTAAAAGTTTCCAAATATTTAAAAAATTAGTTTCCGACGCTGATTATAATCATAATACTATTACATATTATGATTATAAAAATTATTTTTTTTATTTTAATTCAGTAAAAATATTCTACCGGGCCGCAAAAAACATATTCGATGCTGTATTAAAATAACTTTTATTTCACACTTTGATTTATAAAATTATAATTTTGTAATTTAACTTTATAAATCATTCATTATTTTGTATATATAACTATAGTTGGATATTTTTAATGGACTTCTTTTTGCAAAAGAGACCCAACCAACAGTATATTTAACGTTTACATTTATTTTCTTAAATAAATTTAATTTAATTCAATGTTAAGTTAATTTTTTTTGTAATAAAGGATTTTTTTTTAATTAAAATAATGTTAAATTCTTAATTGCTACTTTTTTCAAATGTATATTTTTCAAAAAAAAACCTTTTTTTCCAAAAAAAAGCCAATTTTTCCAAGGCCTGGGAAAAAAGATTTTTTCCCCAATTTTGTCCGGTTTTTTTTCGACACTTTAAAACCCTAGTTTTATTATGTGTATTTTTCTGCAAAAATGTTTTACATAAGTTCACCAGCAGGAATATGTGTTATTTGATGAATATTTAAGCAGAATTTTTTAAAATAAAGTAGTTTATCCGAAATGATAAAATAATTGATATTTTTATAGTATTGCGTGTTCCTGCAAAGGATAGTCTTCTTAA